CATGTCCTAGTTTAAGTTTTTACGTATAGTTGGTGATTTTATCTTATGAGTCCTCAGTGTAAAATTAAGAAACTGACAGTATTATCGCGGCTCTAGCTAATAAAATATTATGAAATTTATTGATAAGATCTGAACCTGCTCATCAAAAACTGTAGCATTGGATAAAATATTTGCCATCATTTCATGTGTGCGTATGGCAATGGATGATATCGTTCGTAGAACATCTGGAATCGAGCCAAAGGTGACCTCTGCTAAAATGAACCATGGCGTTGTCCCCAAAACGCACCCTACTTCTCGAAGTCGCAAACGGGGGAACCAGGTAGACCGCAAGGCGACTCCGAGTACCGACCCTGGGAAAGGTGCGGACAAAGAGAAGGATAAAGAAGGGGTCGTCGCCAAGTCTCGTGGATGGGAACCGTGGAGCCGTCAGTCCATTAAGGAATTCTACAATGCGCTGAAACAGGTACCTTGGCGGTGATAGCTAATACATTCAAGAGGTAGAAGGTCGAAGACAGTGATTGTTTATGTCGTCGTAATCATCCAGTAGGGAGGTGTAATTATCTTTCTTGGCTAGTGACCCTTTTTGCTATTGCCCTCGTGTATATTTCTGCTAACTAGTTTAACTCATTAGGATGTAAGAAAATTATTTTTTTCAGCGCAACTTATTGGAACACAGGGCCGCAAGATTGCCCATCTTTGTGGGCAAGATGAACAGGGCTGATCAGGCAACTGAAACTTCATACCATGTGCCACTGTGCTCTGTTCCAATTTAATAAATTATATGCTGTATATCTCTGGCTTACTTTTAATCAAGGCGAATATCCATAATTCGGAAACATCTGAAAGAATTAGTATTCTTATGAATAAATGAAATAAAACATCCGTCCTCCTTTCACAAGGAGACGGGAGGAACGCAAACCGTGGAAAACATGACTACGCCAGAACACTAAGCTGACTCTGCTGTTGGCAATATTCGACGACTTGCCACCCGTTTTTCGGTTGGTTTCACCGAAACACCTGAAGAGAGGTGGGTGAATTTCTCTCCCCGGGAGCGGGAATTATTCCCTATGTGAACCTAGTACTTTAGACGTTCGAAACACAACTCTTTGTCATCCGATCACCGGTTTTTGCGTTAAGGGAGTAGGTTGCATGATGAAGCGGAATTCTTGTTCCTGCCCTTCTAGTTTCTTTACTGGTGTTGGCTCCAAACCTGTTTGTCCAGAGGCTTGTCGATTACAGACAAAAATCTGACTTTAAATCCATATCTTATTGCATTTACGGTAAGGATTAAAATTAGCATTTTTTAAGCAGACGTGTTATACGATTATCCGTTTGCCAATAATTCGATAGATCGTTTGGTACATTATTAGTGCTTAACTCGCATAACCCCGACGGTCACTGCGTATTCACCCCGTGTTTTCATTCAAAGCCATAGTTTAGATATTTTCACGTTTATTAGGGATAGCGCATCAAACATCTCATAAGGTCCTTAGCTGGTGCTAGTTAATTTAGTAGTATTTCCAAAGTAAGCAAAAAGCAGGTGGTTTCCTTTTCCGTTGTCTGGAAGGAGAAAGTTATACCGTTGAAATGTCGGTCATCCTTGCCCTCTTCCATGATGTGGCGACTCCGGTGTCCTTCTCTTCATCAGGTTGGTGGTGCGGTGGTAGAGTGCCTTATTTCAAAGACATGGTTGACCACTAGGTACATGGCAAGCATAATATATAGTCGTCTGTTCCTTCCCATGTAACAGTACTAATTTATTAGCTGCATAAGGAAGAAAGGCGAGTGACAACCACCGATGCTTAAACCGGCACCCTCTTGCATCTGAGGAACGCCGGTCAGGCGCATATGGTGTGTGTGGTAAATTCCTTCTTCAATGGAAGGTTTTGCCGTTAAGACAAAGGTTTCCATCTGCTGAACCTCGCGTGTCATAACCCGGACTCTTTCGCATGATGCCTTCTCGTCATGCATGTTCGAAGGGCGGCAGTAACGTCTTCGTTTTATCGTTGCTTTCAGGAAATGTCGGGAATTTTCATAAGCGTTTCATTAAATCTTTCATATTTATACCTGGAAAAAATCGTTTTCTTTAGCAGCAGTACAGCTTTTTCACTGCATCCATGTTGGTGACAAGCAATTCTATTCGAATTTTGAGACGGGAGGTTTTGCCAATGGTCTTAGCTCTCCATTGATTAAGATAAGAAGGCAAGCGGTGAATCGCCTGATCCACAGCCTGCCTCAGTTTTCCCTCTTGAAAGTCTCATCTTACATCCTGATCTGATATGCAAACCACTGCAACTCTGATCTCTCCATTTGGACAGTAACGTCTTATATGCGATGAAGATAGCTCTCATTCTCTACTCAAAGTTTTGCCCAATTCACAGTGTCCCAAAAGAACCTAGTAGAGCCATTTTTAGCCATAGTTCTGCACTTGACATCGGTCGTAGGTCTCAGGCAGGTTGTCAGTGGTAAGTGAGGATAGGCCATTTAATTTACTGCTGTGGTGTGCAGCGACAACTTATTTTTTAGTAAAGACGTCATATAAAAAAAATTTGATCAGAGCGTAATGTGATATTACTGGCTCGAACAGCTTTAGCAGCTCTGAATAGCTGTTGCAAAGTTTGCAATGAAAATAGTCTTTGAAAATTACTGGCATTTACTTAGGGATTTTCTTCCACCATGAACCTCTAGTCCTGATTTGATAAATTAACTGGATATCGATGTTGTATCACAAACGTAATTATGCGTTTGCGAGACTTATTCGTGTTTTTGGTCAAGTCCCAACAAAACGGACTCTAGGTACAAATCCAGATGGAAAGATTAGAAGATTATCAGTCAAAAGAACGACCATCGTTTAAATTGATAGTGAAAGAAAGCCTAGGCAATTTTTCTTCTTGATTTGTCTAACCATTAAATGATAGATGGCGTCTCTTGGTCTAAAAAATGCGAAAGTTCTAATGCATAATGGATTATTCGACGAAACGAGCATCTTGCCGTTTAGATTACGAAGGGCAGAGTAATTTACCGTTCGGACGTTGGCAAAAGTTTTACATTCATATCTTCATTTTCATCAATGAGTCAATCATA